CTTCTGAATTGTTGGGTCTGGTGTATTGCATCTTCTTCTTCACAATACCCCATAGATTTTCTATGGGGTTAAGGTCAGGAGAGTTTGCTGGCCAATTAAGAACAGGGATACCATGGTCCTTCAACCAGGTACTGGTAGCTTTGGCACTGTGTGCAGGTGCCAAGTCCTGTTGGAAAATGAAATCTGCATCTCCAAAAAGTTGGTCAGCAGCAGGAAGCATGAAGTGCTCTAAAACTTCCTGGTATGTGGCTGCGTTGACCCTGGACCTCAGAAAACACAATGGACCAACACCAGCAGATGACATGGCACCCCAAACCATCACTGACTGTGGAAACTTTACACTGGACTTCAAGCAACGTGGATGAAGTGCCTCTCTTCTTTTCCTCCAGACTCTGGGACCTTGATTTCCAAAGGAAATGCAAAATTTACTTTCATCAGAGAACATGACTTTGGACCACTCACCAGCAGTCCAGTCCTGTTTCTCTGTAGCCCAGGCAAGACGCTTCTGACGCTGTCTGTGGTTCAAGAGTGGCTTGACACAAGGAATGCGACAGCAGAAACCCATGTCTTTCATACGTCTGTGTGTGGTGGTTCTTGAAGCACTCACTCCAGCTGCAGTCCACTCTTTGTGAATCTCCCCCACATTTTTGAATGGGTTTTGTTTCACAATCCTCTCCAGGGTGCGGTTATCTCTCTTGCTTGTACATTTTTTTCGACCACATCTTTTCCTTCCCTTCGCCTCTCTATTAATGTGCTTGGACACAGAGCTCTGTGAACAGCCAGCCTCTTTAGYGATGACCTTTTGTGTCTTGCCCTCCTTGTGCCAGGTGTCGATGGTCGTCTTTTGGACAACTGTCAAGTCAGCAGTCTTCCCCATGATTGTGTAAGCCTATAGAACTAGACTGAAAGACCATTTAAAGGCCTTTGCAGGTGGTTTGAGTTAATTAGCTGATTAGAGTGTGGTACCAGGTGCCATCCATTTTGAACCTTTTCACAAGATTCTAATTTTCTGATATGCTGAATTTGAGATTTTCATTTGTTGTCATTTGTAATCATCAAAATTAAACAAAATAAACATTTGAAATATATGAGTTTGTATGTAATGTATGAATATAATATACAAGTTTCACTTTTTAAATGGAATTACTGAAATAAATCTACTTTTTCATGATATTCTAATTTTATGACCAGCACCTGTAGATTTTTCTATCCCTTTTATTTGTTTTATTTTATTTTTATTTTTTTGTGACTTATGTAGAAAAGCTATTAAATACAGGGTCCAGAAATAAAACCTCTATCTCTCTGTCTGTTTAGCTTCTCTGTGTTGTGTGTAAATACGGTAAGTTAAACCCTTCACAACCTTCCCTGGTTTGATTTTTTTTCCAAACCATATCAAATGTTTAAAAAGTCCTTCCTCAATTAAAAAAATATGAGACCAGAACCAGTACTGGACCCCCTTGTGTCAGACCTGCCAGTGTCATGGAGTGCATCTATAGAACAGGATTGTGCTCTGTTGTGTCAGTCCCATTAAGAACTCTGAAACTAATAATCACATTCAAATCAGACCAAACTATACTCTAATGTCCTCTAAAGAGCATTTAAATTTCTTTAATATGATCCAGAAAATGAACAATTACGTATAGATTTTTAATTTCACATCAGCAAATGGTCTTATAAAGAAAATGTATTAAAAACTGTTCCTAAAGAGATAAGACTGAGTATGGCCTCTCTAACGTATCTTGTTAGTATTTCTCTCTCTGACACTCTTTATACAGTAAAACTTCACATTCCTAATTTACAAGTAACATCCTCTGAGAATTGTATTTATTCCAGCTTAGTTTCCATCCAATTAGTTCAATAACAACTGTGTCCCATTATGTGTCTGTGTGTGTTTGAGGCCACTGAGCTTTAATTAGAAGTCTAACAAAGTGAAAATCAATCTAAGGGGTGCATGTTTTTTTCACATTTTTTCTTCTGTGACTCTTAAATTAGCAGATATTCTCCTCTGCTGTGCTTAATGTTAATAAAACCAAATTATTTAAAACCAGATCATTAATTGAAAAACACTCTGCAGCACAAAGACACCAAAATTCTAAATACATTTTTAGTGTATTTATTTCAAGAAGCCCAAAATTAAAGTGTCTCAGTGGAAACAAAGTGTGAAAAGTTTTACATCTTCATGATTCTTAAAACATTGTGCTTTAGTTTTCATGGGAGGATAGTGCTTTTGTTTTCAGGGGTCTGTTTTATGTTGTATGATTTGTACATTAAGAAATTTATTTTTTTGTATTTCTTTTTTCTTTTTATCATTTATTGATGCTAAGTAGATGGATCAGCATTCAATCTCTGCATTATTGCCACTTTACTGTGTTCAGTACTGTGAAATATTCTAACTTTATTCATGGGGTAAATTCCAGTTTTTCCACTCACACTGTTTGTTTTAGATCATAACTTTAAACAAATGAGTAAAATCTACATTTGTCTACATGCAGTGTCATCCAAAAGATTCATCACATTTTATACTCTTACCCTTTTTAAAATACAGAGCATCCCTCACCCTGTTTTATATGACAAAAAAATTAATTACAGATGCAAACTAGTCTGTGTCTCTTTTGATGTTTTTGAAGTCAGCCCTACAGCTGTGTGTGGGCATGAGCTAAAACTTAGTTGTTTTTTTCATGAGCTATAAAGAAGAAATGTTCGAGGTTGGCTTGTGTTTTGTATTTTTGAACATGCATTGTTTAGTGAATAAAATTTTATAGACTAGTGAAACAAAAAAACAAAGCTAAACTCAGATCTAAAAGCTCAACATGTGAAGCTCGTTTATTTTTTTTAAATTCTGGTTAGGATGCTTGTAACTATTACATTTGTGAACATGGTTGAAATAAAGTATGTCAAAAAGGTGTTTTTCCAAATTAAACCCATTAATAATAATAATAAGGTTATCTTGCCTGACAGAAAAAAAACACAGATTTAGCATGTTTTTGTTGTTGTTTTGACTTGTGGTCAAATGTAGAAAAATGTGACCACAAATGATCACTTATTTAAAATAGTTTGAAGCAACATTTTCCACATGCAAAACATATTTTACATTTCATATGATTTTTTTTACCATGTTTTCACAGATAAAGTTAATTATATTTGTACACTACATGCAGGAACCTCCCTCGGCTAAAATGTAAACAGTGGAAAGCAATGTTTAAGCTTTTATCTGTGTGTTTGTTGTTTTAGCAAAATATCCGATAAACCAGTAAATGAATTTAATTGAAACTCTCCAAAAGCAATTGTTAAGTGAACAATCGACGACTTGTTAACTTTTGGAGTCAACATATTTCATGGTGGCTGCCACAGCTAAGTCAGCCTAGCAAGCACAAAAATGACAAGAAATCAGTCATTTTTACACATAATGAGGTAAAACTTGATGTGGTAGTAGCTGAGAATCATTCTGAACACATATTCTGACTGCTAACAGATTTTGGGAGCGCTTGCAATATTTCTTTGGGTTGCACATGTGTTTTTTTGTTTTTTTTTTTTTGCTTTCTTGTTCTTTCAAAAATTGACCAAAACAGCTTTAACTGCATCAATTTCCAGCACAAGATGATCTTAGTTTGACGTGAAATGCATTTATTCATGAAATGACTAGGCCCTTAATTGAACATGTTTCTACATTTTAAAACATAATTTCCTCATGTAAAGTGTCTGTTGTTTTTCTCTCTTCAGATTCTGTCTTTGCATATGTGCAATACCTGCGAGAACCCTTCATAAATATGCAGAATAATGGTGGTTATGCCTTTTACAAGCTGGATGTGTAAATAAGGAACAGTTTATCAACACGTTTACATACTCAACCAAAAAATATTAGAACTGAATGGAGTTTACAGCTTATTTTTGCTTCCATAAAACATGAGCTACTGCAGCTTTCATGATCGCAGAATCAATTCTGCAAAAAGCCTGCAAACTGAACGTATGGGAATATTTTCTGTCTCTTCTATCTGCTCACCCTAACATGAACTGTAATACACACAGACAAGCACATTCTTATTGCATATTCACATCATGCTGTGATCATTAGTTTCCCACTGTGTGCACCCATGTTAGGCTCTAATTATGACTTAAGTTTAATAGATGTATGCACTGCGTCACTGAACCACAACCACACAGCATTCACTCTACACACGTACACAACAAGAGCTTGTTATACTGTATTGTTACTACTTGTCCTGTTATGGTTGAAGGCTGAGACGGACAGTTTGCATGTGCAGTGCTGTTAATGTTGAAAAGTCATAATCTTTTTCTTTTTTTGTGCAAACAAATTTTCAGTTCATTAACTCACTGGCTCTCATTAAGAAGCAGACAAAATGTACACAAAGATGATTTGCAACTCAAAGTCAAAATTTACAGGGTCTGTCAACTCTACTGAAACCTTCTGTTTTTCTTATTATTTCTTCCTCACACTGTATTTTCCTCATGTTGTTAAAGATCTGTGAGCATTTCTAATGAGAAGCAGGAAAGTGAGAAAACAGGATGTGCCCGTACGAGTTCTCGCCCAAAAAACTCGGAACATGTTTGTGACGGTTGTTAAAAGTTGTGCGGCGCAGCTGAATTCGTCACCCTTCGCGTGCCTTTAATGAACACTTCATTAGCTGGAAACCTCATTAGCTGTCTAACGACACGAAGCAGATGATCCAGGAAGGAAGAAGAGAGGGCTTTGTTGTGCGTCAGTTGTTAAAGGTAGACAGGCGGGCAGCGTTTAGTTGAAGCACTTTCAGGATTTACTACTTACAGGTGTGCAGTAAATCATCTTCGTAGCAGCAGCAGCCTTTAAGAGCATATTTCTAACCTAAAATACACCTAATTTAAATTAAAGCATATTGCCCGAGGAAGTATTTTTAACACCATCCTATTTTTATGCATTTTCCTGCTTTCTTCAGTGCATAATAATTGGACATGTGACAGAACGCACTGTTAGCTTTATATGATTTTCTCCTTGGGCTTTGCAGATTTGTGACAAGGAGTGGCACTACTACGTGATCAACGTGGAGTTCCCTGCAGTGACTCTCTTTGTGGACGGCGTGACCTATGAGCCCTACCTGGTGACAGATGACTGGCCCATCCATTCCTCCAAGATTGATACACAGCTGACGGTGGGCGCCTGCTGGCAAGGTCAGTGTGAGAGCGCGCGCAGGTTTGTTTCTCTGAAAGAAGACGTATGTTTTAAACAAGCTGAAATCAGACAGGGAGCTGCTGCTACACGATGTTTTAGGGATTGTTGACAGCGGTACTCTGATCTGATGGTTTTTATATGCAGTGGCATAGAATTTATTGAATTATTTATTTATTTTCGTACATGAATCCATTTCTTGCGTCGTGTCTAAACATGGTGACAATACGTTGTGTGGATGGTAAATAGAAAAATTGCATCAATAATCAGCCACAGCACCCGTGAGATGCTGAAAATTACATTTGAATCACAAACGGAGAGGCAGAGTGCGAAAGCAGGAGAGTCTCTGTTAAAATGAATAAAGGGATTAAGATTTCTTCCCCCGGGGCAGTGAGTGTTTCCTCTTTGAAGCAGGGTAGATATCAACAGGAAATTCTGCATGTCATTTTCCAGCAGCTGCAAACAGGAGCAAGTCGTTCGTGATGCAGAGGAATAAATGCTGCTGTGTTTATTATTTGAATCATTTCTCAAAAGTGCTTCATGGGACGGGATGTCACAGTGGAGATCCGTTCAGCAGCTCGCCTAAATCACAGTCATAGCACTCGTGAGCGTCAGCTAACCCTTTTAGTCCTGATGGCGTTTTGGGTTGGTGCTCGAATTTTCTTTCATTCTGTGCCTGATTGCAATTTTCTGTCTGTCGTCATCATTTCGACTCCTTGCCTCATACAGCCTCCTCGTGCTGCCTCTTTCTATGAATCTCTGATTGGGAGAGAAAAGCCTTGAAGGAAGGATTAGCAGGAGTGAATGGAGGACAAGTTTGCCAGCTATTACATCCCAATGAAGCCGCTTTAAGCTTCACTAAGCCGCAACTGATAACTTTGCAGGCCATTAGCAAGCAAGATTGCCTTTCAGAGTCTCTCATTTCTCCATCCTCTTTTCCTCACAATCAACAACATAACGATGAGACATGTGGAATATAAACGGCATTCAGGCTCGGCTCTCACCGCACTGAAACCAAAAAGTAGTTGTCTGTTGTTGTCTTACAAGGTTAACAAGAAAAAAGGTTTGAATGTTGTTTTAGGCAGTTTTCTCTGGCGTATGGGTTTTTATGGAGTTTGAATAGCAAATGGTGTTTGTCTTTTAATTTTATTTGTTTAAAAAGGGCAGTCAGTGGGAGATTGTAAAGATGCTTTCATGGTGTTTACATAATTAGGTAGAGAAGACGAGTAAAAAGAGCAAAGAGCGATTTCCGGTAGGAAATGAAAAGCATCAATTAAATTAGAAAAAAGTCCAACGTGCTGCTCTTTAATGTAACGTATCACAAGGTTATAGAAAAAAGCTCAGTGTGGTGCTGCGAGCATCAATTCAGTTTCATTCGTTATAGTTCAATTTATTTACAAGACTAAAATCTAGTTAAATGCAAACTTATTCTGAATATAATCCAGTACATGTAAACTCAGTAAATTATTAAATGCCTGTTCATAAAAAAGATGTCCAACTAAGAAACAATAATGAAACCAGCAGGTAATCTTCACTTTGATTCAGTCTCTTGTCTTCAACTTTTCAAAACTCAGGCTGCAGCACTTTGCATCAGCTGGAGGCTTTTCAGAGAAAATGTGGGTCATTCTGATAATAATGAATTACTATAGTCCAGTCTAGGAGTAAAAAATGCATGAACTAGTTTTTATAAATAGCTATGAGGAATGGTGGGCCTTATTTTGGCAACATTTTGCAGGTGAGGGAAAGAGGTCTTAGATACTTACCGAAATGCCCCCATCACATGTTTGAGAATCTGTCATTCACTTCTACAATATTATGAGGTCTGTGGCTGTAAGAAAATTACACACAGCTTTGCTTCATTATGTTTCTGACTCTGCTGCACCGGCATGTCCAGGATTCTGCGTTGCCACAGATTTATTGTCATGTTCATAAATTCTGTGCCATGAACGCAACAACTTAGAAACCTCACATAAAGGCTGGTACCTCTACAGCTCTTTAAATATTGATCCATTTCTAGTGAAAAGTGATTCAGGTAAAAGCAGCTGTTTGATTATATCTGCATACCTTTAGTGTGTGATAGAGTTAACTAAAAATGTGGAGAAGAATGATTTGTTGTTTGTTTTATGAATATTTTAAATAGTATGGGTAGATTTGTCTGGACCCCTAAAAAGAGACTGTTAATCCCAGTAGTATAGATTGACCTTAGTTTCACCGGTGCCGTCAAGCTTTTTGTCAGCCTATTTAAGGAGAATAAACACGCCACTGGGTACTTTCGTATCACTGAGTGCAACGCACTGGACATGGAGCAAAGGAAGCAGAGAGAGCTGTCGGAGGAGAAAAAAGTTTGTAAAGTTTCATGATTGAGGAGCTTCATGTTCCTCTGACCACAGCTGCCGGGGTTGTGAAAAAGTTTAAGGTTTGTGGAACTGTCGCCAGCCGCCCAAGACAGGGACACAGGAAGAAATGTAACCCCAGGTTGAGCAGATGGTAGTAAAAAAAAAAAACTAATAAACTATCCAAAACCATTCCAACTGAACTCCAAATCACTTTCATAATGGGCTCCACAGAGGAAGACCCTGGAGGGTTCCTGTATCGACAGAAAAACACAAAAAACACACAGAAATTCATCCGGATGTGTGTTGAGAAAAAAACTGGAGCTTTTGGGCTCCAGTCACATCAGTTATGTTTTATTTTATTATTAATATTGTTTTGGGAATAGTTTCAACCAATTTATCTGCATCTCACATCTATGTTTTATCATCAGTTTTATATATAATATTAATTTACTCTGGTGCAAATATGTAAAAAGACAGTAAGTTTTAGCCACACTAACAACTAGTATGTTTTTAAGGAATCACAGAATAAAAGATAAAAAAAACACATTGTGATACTTCATTGTTGTTGATTATGATTTTACATTTGCATAAAATTTTCTCAGTAGCCTGTTGAAATAATAAATCATTGTAATGTTGCCAAAAATGTTTGATTTATTTTTCTGTTCAGTTTTTGTGTTAGCAGAAACCTTTGATTTTTAAAGCGCAAATATTTAATCAGTGCAGCAGTGTTTGTGCCAGATAGAATTATATTTCCTTCAGGCCTCTTAAAGTGTTGCTTCCACAGTAATATGAGACTGACTGTCCTTTGATCCATGACCACCAAAATCCTAGAGTTTAAATGAAAATTTGAGCAAAATTCAAATTTCTCTAGAGACGTCTAAGAGGAAGGAGCAGACAAACAACCAGAAAAGCACGAGTGTAGCTAAACAACTATATACTTTTAAATTATTACTGAAGATGTTTCAAACTTCACTTTAATTTGTGGTCAAATAAAACCTATTGATATGACTCAGATGCAGCATATATTGTTATTGTTTTTTGTTTTGTAAGAAATAGTTATAAGAACATAAATAACATTCTGTCCCAGAACGCTGTTCATTTGTTTAAAGTCTAAAACCTTTCAGATCTTAATACACAGACTTGTTGGGCTAAAACACAATAATTTATTTAAAGAAAATCTGTTACACTGAGTGACGTCTCATTTAGAGCGTATGTGTGTTTTGTACGTAACTGTGTGGAAAGGTTGATGAATCTTTTAGCAAGGGAAACGAGGAAATTTTACTTCTATTTTCTAAAACTGAGAGCAAATGAAAAGGAAAAATACAAGGTCTTTAGGAACAGAAATTAAACAGCATCTTTCATAAAGCAAATATCCAATCCTTAAACAACACATGCTTCAAAAATGTTGCAAATTTAAACCTTGAGAGGGTGTTTTCACTTCTTTAAAATTAAATTCAAATAACCGTGAGACTCACAGGTTTGTTTAAGCAAAGAAACGTCTAACTCTCTATTTTAATTGTTAGCAATACTATGTTTACGAAACATGCTACTTAAAATGTATGTAACACAAGTTTCTGTTTGTTTTTAAATGGACCTGTAAAAGCACAAGTGCATGTCTAGACATGCTGAGCTTATATTTATTATATTCATTAAGACTTAAAGACATCTTAATGAAACCTTTCAACAAAGTACTGTGAGAGAGAGAGAGAGAGAGGGAGAGAGAGAGAGAGAGAGAGAGAGAGAGCAAAATAATGGTAAACATTTCTGTCTTATGAGAGAGAAGGAGATGACGGGGAGGAAAATTAGGACCTGTTTTTACTCGTTTCTAATGCAAAGTGCTCACCATGTCTCATATGAGTGAACAAACATAATACACAAGGAGAATAATAAAAATCCACTTCAAATAAGGATCATGAACTTCCTGTTTGCAAGTTAAGTTTTTTTAGCAAGAAAAAGTTCCACAGTAAACTTAGATTAAAAACTGATATATTTGTTCATTAACACGATACAATAAGATGATGTGTAAATGATTAGCAATGTTCATTTTAATTATATGAGTTTTAGTATTTCTACAAAGTTAAAAATATCATAACACTGACTTTAACTTGTGCAAACAATGGCTTTTATTTATATATAGTGATTTACCATAAATTTAATTAGATTAAACAATTATTTAGAAAATGTACTGTGTGGATCGATGTTTCTGACATCAACCATGGACTCAGTTTTCCAACTATCAGAGGATTTATACGTGTGCCAGCTCATGAAATCTCTCTTTTTATCCTCAAACAGACACATTGTAAATTCCAGCCAGTCACAGACCCCTGACCTCGTCTCCATACTAACAAAGTAACTGGACTCTAAAGCAACCTCTCTTATCTGATGAGTTGACCTGGCTGCATTAAGTTCTCAGTGTGCCCACCTTTCTGTGAAACTCTGAAATACCGTAGAACCCACGAAAACATCATAATTATTCTTGTTTCATTCTTTATTGTTGTGTACACATCATATTATTTCAGGATTAGAAAGTTAGATTTTAAATTTTACACTTTTGTTTTATTTTAAGTTAAAATGCTCCTTGGTAATATTTCAGGAAAAACAGAAGAGAAATGTGTCTCTCTCACTGATCAGTTCATCTAACCGTGGTCCTGCAGCACCAAGTCATAATTAGGGATGTCCCGATCCAGATTTTTTGGCTCCTGATACAATCCCAATTTTTTTAATGATTAGTCTTTCCGAAACCGATCCGATAGCTTTATTTCTTTATTTCTTTCCAAGTGACAAGGTTGGTAGTATTAAAGCGAGCCCTGCTGTTCCCACCAAGAGAAACATCCAGTTTGCAGATTTTGCAAGATGCAGTTTCAGCATCATTGTTTTCCATTGAAAAAGTGTTCCCACACTGTGGACATGGTTGCATACTTGTGTGCATCTACACTTCTTAATGGCAGTTGTAAAGCATGATGATGCTGAAAACTGTCATGAAAACTGGATCGGCCCGATCACATGACTAAATCTGATTCTACCCGATTTTCAAAAAATGGCCGTATCTGCCACCGATACAGATACTGAGTATCTGATAGGGACATCCCTAATCATAATACTTGTTTTTATCTATCATCATAAAACGCCAACTTGTAGCTTTGTTCCTCTCTCAGTCTTGTTCTAGTCTTGTTTCAGTCTCAACAGAGTATTTTTGGGTCTTGAGTTTGGTTCTGAAAAAAATGCTCTCCTAATTCTTGAGCTGAACAGTCTTGAACCGAGCAGCAGAACCTGATCAATACTCCAGATACAGGGAACAGCTGCAGATTATTCAGCCAAACTTTATGGGATTTACCTTGTGAAGTGACTGAACTTTATTTTATCGAACAAATATTTTAATCCTTTTGAGTTTTACAACATTTGAGAAATACTCCAGATGAACTGTGTTTCTTCTGAAAGCCTTGGTGCAACTAGACACATCTGAACCTGTCTTCAGCTTGATTAGTGAGAACACACTGCATGTTCTCCTCCATCTGAGGAAATCATCCTAACAAACTGGGTGTTTTGGATTTCCTGACAAACTGATGCCAGGCTGAGGCCCTCCTGGAGCTGTGCCAAGTTCGTTTAGCCTGTGAACGAGTAACGTCCACTCTTCAGCTCCTCCTGCCTGGGTCAGCAACCGCACACGCTAGTGGGAAGAACCTCCTGATGGTCGGATCTCCAGATTCCTGCTTGCTCATTATGGTTTGGTGTCAAAATTATTTAACATTTGTTCTGGGTTATTAACAGATAAACCTGCTATTCAGCTGTACTTTTTTTTTTACTTCATCACTTTGAGTTAACCTTTGATTCTGAGTTTCTTTGAGTTAGTCAGGTTAAAGTTTTCACTCCTCTTCATCCACAGTAGTTGAAATTATAAACCTAGATTTTAGACTTTAAAATATTTCATCACTTACCCTACTTACCATAAATTACTAGAAACATACTCATAAATGAATTCCTTAATTTGTAAATACTTTGTAAATATCCTGTATTATAATAAAACACATAAACTATAAGTACTGTCTTAATTCTTGTGTGTTTCAGAGGGTCAAACTGTGCTATGAGCCTATAGATTCCAATGCATAATCTGAGCTAAGGTTGAATAAACAAGCTATCGGTAATCTAAAAACAATGCAGAGTACTAAATATTAATATTTATGCATTGAAGGTGTTCTCCTACAATAATCTTCAAAGACTTGTTGTCTGGAGAAAACTTTACTTTGTTTCAGAAGAAATTAATTACTGGTTTGAATCAATCAAATACTGTGTTTATAACAACTCAACACATTATTAGAAAACCTGAAGAACAAAGATGAAACATCCTTTTGTGAGGAAGAAAAGTGGTCTGAAATAAAATATCAAGTGAGCGTGAATGGAGATCAGATAATTAGAAATGGGACAAAACCAACAGAAATCAGTGAAACGTACAACAATGATGCAACATTTCCACACAAAACTAATGAATTTAAAGTACAACTGCGACCTGCAGCTGAATGTCGGAGCTGTAAAAAGTACAAACAAGCTGTTTGGTCAGAAGAGATAATCCAACATTATTTTCACCCACCGATCGGCCGCTTCAGAGTTCAGTTTTCCCACGTTAGGGATTTTTGTGCAGGAGAACATTTTATACATCAGTCTAGTCTGTCCCATCAATAATACATTTTAGTTGGAAAGTATAAAATGTGTTACTGCATGAGCACTAAAAGAACCTATTTTTACCTTGGCATGAAGGCAACATTCAATTAAAGCTAAAAGGAATCCAAGTACAGTAAATATTAGAATTTGTGGCTTTTTTAAGACACAATTAACATTTTAACAGGTTTTGAAAAGATTTTTAGAGACAACCGAAATGTTTCAGACCCTTATTCTGCTGTTACCCTTTTTTATTAAGACCTCCAGGCTGAGGTGACCCTGTTTTTGGTATTATGTAAAAGAAAATAAATCTGTTTTTGTTTTTGGAGAAGCTGTTCTTCAGCCTGCTGGAGGCTGTGTTTCTGTGACAACATCTCCTCTTTCAGCTCTACATGTGTGCTCTCTGACAGAACAGAGAGAGAAAACACCTCCAGCTACATGCAGGTTAGCTTATTCATAATAACGCATCTAGTTTCTCTCTACAATTCCCTGGATGCACCACAGACCAGTCCTTACTCCAGGAGAAACTTCAGTTTGGATTAAATAAAAATAACAAACAGTTGAAGTAACGTTTAATTTGTGTGAAGAAGTTCTATCAGCTGGTAATGATAGAGAAAACTAAATCAGAATAAAAGCATCAGTGTGGTTCTTTAATTATTTAAAAAGAATGGATCAATGGCTTCTGGGACTGTGTTCAGTCATTGTTCATCCCATTTCATTTCTTATTTGACCAAGCATTAAGTAGTTCAAATTCTTTTCTGCACGTTCAAAGAGTAAGTGCAAATGCTGCAAAGCCATCTCCATCTTCTGCTGCTTATCTGTAGTCGGGTTGCAAAAGCAACAGGTCTGAGAGAGAAACCCAGACGTCTCCCACCCCTGCGACACATTCCTGCTCATCCTGGGGGACCTCAAGGTTTTCCCAGGCCAGAGTGGATATACATATAATCCCTCCAGCGACTCCTGGTTCTTCCTCGTACCAGTGGGACGTACCCGGAACATTTCTAAAGGCATCTTAATCCGATTCCCAAACCACCTCAAGTGACTCGTTTTGATGTGGAGGAGCAGCAGCTTAACTCAGAGTTCTCCTCTCTAAGGCTGAGCCCGGCCACACCTACAAAGGAAGCTCATTTTAGCCGCTTGTATACGAGATGTTATTCTTTCGGTTATGATTCACGCCTCATGACCATAGGAGGGTTGGAACGTAGAGAGATCAGTAAATCAAGAGCTTTGCCTTTCGACACTGCTCTTTCTTCACCTCAACTGACCGAAGCAACGTCCTCATTACTGAGGATGAGCCCCCAATCCATCCTGCCATCACTCGTGAACAAGACACAAAGATACTTAAACTTCACCACTTCAGGCAAAGACCCCCATGTGGACCCACCACCTGCAGGGAGGACTGTCAAGGTTGGGTGCGATGCATATCGGGAAGCAGGCGAGGGAGGGGTCCTGACGGCATAGACATGCAAAAAATATTTTGTCATAAATTCGCAATTTCAGGAAAAGAGGTTTCTCCTTTCTCTAGTCTCAAGTTTATACTTTTTGTTAAATAGTATAAAGGAGTGACCACCGACCATTAAATTAGGTTGTTTCAACAAACAATTTCAGTTTACTCTGTATAACTTATCTCTGATTTTAGCCAAACACTTTAGGTCAGACACTCCAATATGTGTCAAAGTTAAAATATCAAACTCTATTATGAGGCTCTACAAGTTTTAATATTCCTCCTCATCACCCTTCTCCTGCCTGTTTGATGAGATTCTGATTTTTTTATTCAGTTTCCTGCTTTTTTGTCATAGGTAACAGGTTTTTAGTTGTTTTCTGTCGTATGTTAAATTAAACAGTGTTTTTGTCACAGTTAAACAGTTTATTACCTCTCATCTCTAAGTGTGAAAACCATGACATAAATTAACAGATTATTTTTGTTTCTGTTTTATTTGACTGAGCAACACGTGAAGTCCTACAGTCATACCTGTAGTGTTTTTTTTGCATCACTTCTTACTTTCCCCCTCCTCACTGCTGTTCTTGTCTTTTTTTTCTTTTCTTCCTACTCTTCCCTCCATGTCTTCTCTTTGTCCCACTAGGCGGAGTGGTAGCGACCTCGAGGTTCACGCAGTATTTTCACGGCAGCCTTTCAGGTTTGACAATCCGACCGGGCCGCATTGAAACCCAGAAGGTTATCTCCTGCTTGCAGGCCTGCAAGGAAGGCCTTGATATTAACTCCCTTGAAAGCCTGGCAAAGGACATAAAGGTGCGTGAAAATATGAAGACACTGTTACAATTCACCACACACTTTAGCCTTTAATAGTAACTCTTACTACCTCGGCATTTAAGCAGTAAAGGTTGGTGTTTTTGTCTGAACGTACAATGTCTTGCTTTCCTTCAATGTGGAGTTTAAAGGAGTTTAGCAAACCTCTGACGCAAAGCTCAGTTTTTGTCCTTGAGTTACAACACTTATGCTCTAAAGTTTCTTTTCTGAACATGATGTGTGTATGTGTGTGTGTGTAGTTTCACTTTAACCCAGCTCAGTCTGTGCTGGTTGTGGAGGGGGAAGACGTAGACAGCATCAACACAGCCGTGACAAAAGTCTCCTACATCAACTCTCGTCAGTTCCCCACACCGGGCCTCAGACGGCTGCACATCACCGCTGCTGTACAGTGAGTACACATGGGATTCCTTCAATAAAAACCTAGCATTCCTTGTTTCATGGGATATTGTGCAGTACAGACAAATAAATACACACAGACAAAAATATTATCTCTCCTCCTTTACCAGGCAATAACTATACAGTAGGTATAAATATATGAAATATGCTTTAAATTCCTAAAATAGCATTTACAGATTTTCCTTTCCTTTATTTAACTTCACTGTTTCTACTAACTTTTGAACATGTAGGACTTGTGCAGTTTGACACAAGTTATAGGCTGCTGAAATGAAAAGCCTGGTGTCTGACGAAGGCTTTTCACCCTTTCCTCGAGTGTCGCTGTGAAAAACATTTGTCTAAAGCCTGGTTCTTAGGTAGTTTTGAGAGCAGCAAACAAAGAATGAGCTGCTACTTCAAACTCGGAGCAGCCTTGGCTATTTGCATTTAAACAGATTAGAACTATAGAAAACAGCTGCTGTGGTGGACAATGACAAAAAGAAATTAGATTTATTTTTTTCTACTTTAAAACGATTTGAAAGTGTCTTCTTAAAATTTCTAAATAAAAATCTGTAATTTAATATCAGTTATGCTCTTTACCACACATCAGAATGAAAAGTGAGTTTTCAAGTTCTTGAGTTTTTGCCCGTGTCTGTGTTTGCCTGTTAGCAAAATATTTCATGAACCAGTTGATGGATTTAAATGAAACTCTCAGACATTCTCATTTAATAATTCATGATGGCTGCCACAACTAATCCACCCCAGCAAACACAAACTTGGCTATGACTCTGCCAATCTTATGGATATTGAGCCAAATGTTGGTGTGGTAGTAGCTGAGAGTCATTCGCAGCACATATACTGAGGATTAGCAGACTGCACAACATCTTTATTTAAAAGTTTGTCCTGCGAGGCGGCGCTCGATGGTATGGAGGGCCAAAAATAACATATTCAAAAATAAAAGCAGAAATAAATAAAAGGTCCGATAAATCAATACACTTGAAATGTTACTGTTTTTAAACACACACACACACACGTGTGTGTGTGTGTGTGTGTGTGTGTGTGTGTGTGTGTGTGTGTGTGTGTGTGTGTGTGTGTGAGGGAGTGAGATGTTTACTCTGAT